GGCCGGGGGATTTTTGCCCCCCCCCCCCCCACAACCCACCCATCTACCTTCCTCCTCAACCTACCACCTCTACCATCCCCGCCCCTCACCGTCGTCAGCCCCTCGCACTTTCTACCTCGCTCGCTCTCTATCCCCTATCTCGCCTGTGCGCTCGCCATGATCTTTCGCATTTCCGAATCGGCTGGCGACCGCTGTTTCTTTCTCGGGGCCGCGCCGCGGGAGTCTGGCGTCGCTGGGAAAGAAGGGCAACGGGCCCCGCCGCGGAAACTCCTCCGCTGCTCGAAAGACTCCCCCACGACGTGCCGCACGAGTGAACGAACCCACCGATATCCTCCCGAGCCATTCCCCCCAAATCCACAACCTCGTCGTCCGTTCGGACCATCCACCACCTCCCCGTCCCCGTCCCCGTCCCTGCCCCCGCGCTCCCAACCGCCGCGACGTATCCCGCCACGCCTCGCCGTGCCTCGCCCCCGCGCACGGCTGGCCGCTCGCATGCGGGCGGCCGCGGATTTTCTTCATCGCTCGCCGACTTTCCTTTGCCGACCGCGTGCGAGCCCCGCCGGAGGCGGTCGTGACTCACGCGAGAGGCTCGCCTTGGGTGAGCTTGCCGAGCTTGCGTTACACGATACCATTAGCTCGCGGCTCGCCGCCACTCCCCCGACTTTTTCAACTGCAATCAATTATGCTCATCCGGGATAACGTAGATTAGCCAGCGCCAAACCTCGGCCTCTATCAACCAGAAAGTTAATGGCTCGCCATTATCAACGCTATCGAGACGACTGACGCTCCTTCAGCGTTCGTACGAACGATTTGCTAAGTTTTGTTAAAGACTCGAGTCGAGTTTAGCTAGCTTGCATCAAGATTTCGCGCCAATCATTCCCGAGCTTTCTTTCTTCAATTGCTCGAGCTAATCGCTTCGCTCTTACTATTTCCTGCGATTTCGGGAATAAGATGGGATCGCATGAGCGACCGGGCTATAATAAAGATAAGAGAAGAAGGTGAGTGATAGAACAACAGAATGCCAAATTGGATAATTGATTTAATATTAGCCGTTGTTCATCTGTCCGATTAGCCACGCGTAACTCGCAACGAAACCGCATTAATAAAAGCAATGTCGGTATAAGGTGTAATGTCGCGCGAGGAAGTGCGTTATCGCGGTGAGTGTCACAGTCGCCGGAACGGCCTACAAATTCTTCGGGCTCCCTCGTGGAGCCGTGCATAATCTCGACAAGACCAGCTTCAACATGTCGACGCAAGGACGATGTCGCGGTGATCGCGGCTTACCCGGTCGCGTCTGCTCGTCTCCCCTGCGTCACTTTAAATACGAGAGTCCTCCCCCCCCTCCCCCCCCCCCCCTCATCCCATCCCATCCCATCCCATCCCATCCCATCCCACCCCTCCACACTCCCACCCCCGCCGTCTTGACTCGAGGACGGGGTGAGGCGGGCTGGCCAGGGGAGACGAGACAAACAAAGGGCTCGCGCTCGTAAAAAGCGAGCGGCCCTCGGTGCTTGGCCTCCACCCCGCTGCCCTCGTCACCCCCTCCCGACCCGCTCGGTCCGTCATTTGGCCGGCAAAATATGCGTCCGTCGGAGCTTCCGCGGGGAAAAAGCAAGGTAGCTCGCTTGGGGATTAGGCGCTGCCGTCGCGGCAAAAAGCCCCGCATACTCCCAGATGAATGCTTTTGACTGTCGGAGCCCCAATGAGACGTTATGCGGTGGGGCGGGGGGTGACGACGGCGGCGAGGGGGGATGGGGAGGGGGGGGTGGGGGGGGTGGGGGGGGGGGAGATCGTCGGCGGTATAGGTGGTGGCGACGGGGTCGGTGGCGACGACGGCGACGGTAGCGGCAGCGGCAGCGGCGATGGCGACCAAGAGGAATGAGGAGAGTGGGAAGGACCGAACGGCTTTTTGATCGCGGGGACGCGGTCGAGATTTATGGTTTAATTAAGCGCCCGGTCGCTCGACATCCGACGAATTTCCGCTCAACGGCCGCCACCATCGCCGTCGCTACCGTCGCTACCGCCGCTACCGCCGCCGCCACCACAACCACCACCAACAACACCGTCACTACCACCATCCTCCAATGCCATAACCGCCACTGCTACCATCGTCCCATCGTCACCACGGCAATCACCGCCACCAGCACCGCTACCGGCTTAGCCACTACCACCGCCACCGTCACCACGGGGAAAAGCCGCGACCGTTGGCTTTATTGACTCCGTCCCGCTCCTCGGCTGCCTCCCGTCCCTCCCGATTTCACGCGGACGCCCTTTACTTATTTACCACCGGCGCGCGTTCCCTCTCGCCCTTCCCTCCCACCGCCACGTGACAGAGGTGTGGCGAATCGCGGAGTAACGCGAAATACATCGGGCCGAAATCGTTTTACGGCAATGTGTGTGCATCGTAAAACAATCATGGACCCTCAAGGGATTGGGAGCCACGCCGCCGAGCCTTTCCACGGCACAAAATGCCCCGTGTATGATGAATTTTAGTGCGGATTTTCGTTGGACTGTGTGCTTGGCATGCCCCTTTCGCGGAACGTATTTATCCACACGGTCGCCTAATGGAGACATCCGTCAAGAAGGCATTCGTATCATCGAGCTGGTATTGGTCATGGGCGAATGGCATGCCGCGAAGTGGTAAAGAGGAGGGGGGCTGGAGGACAGGAGAGGAGACAGTGGGTCAGCACTATTTTGCGAATAATAGGCTTTACATTTCCCAACGCGTCCTCGCTGTTTCCCTTACGACGAGCAATCGCTATTTGAGTGGCCATGACTATTAAAAACTACTAGCCTACAAATTGCGCTGTTAAATACTTTTTAACGATAAAACTTTGGCGGCGGTGCATTATCGTTAACAAGGACGTTATTATTTATAAAGTATCGCTTAACAATACACTTTGCGGGCTTATGAGCCTTATTAGTATTCCTACAGCAAAAATAAGAAACTACCGAGAGATATATATAAGTATGCGTGTATTTAGGCACGGTTAATAAAATATACGGGCGAATCGAATAATTCCTGGCATTTAAGTATACGAAAATAATTTATAAATTGTATTTTAGCATAGAATGAAAAAAGGATAACGAGAAGAAAAAAAATGATAAATGAATATGAAAAAGGAAGAAGATAATCGCATGACCAAAGGCGCTATAGTCATTTTAAAACTCATTTTTTTAAATTCTTATGTTGAGAAAT